TCGGGCATGTCGTGTCAAGTTCGGGAATTTCGGTGGATAAAACCAAGATAGAAGCCATTATGAATTGGGAGAGACCCAAAAATGTGAAAGAGATACGTAGTTTCCTTGGCTTAGCGGGATACTATCGTAAGTTTGTTGAAAAATTCTCCGTATTGGCGTCTCCATTGACAAAGCTCACAAAGAAAGGGGCCAAGTTCATATGGGACGACAAGTGCGAGACAGGGTTTCTTGAACTAAAGAAACGGCTTACAGAAGCACCGGTTCTCGCTCTACCCACACAAGGGATAGGGTATGACATATACAGTTATGCTAGCATCCAAGGGCTTGGATGTGTACTAATGCAAACCGGTCGAGTGATTGCCTATGCTTCTAGGCAATTGAAGAAACACGAGGCAAACTACCCTACCCACGATCTAGAATTGGGGGCGGTAGTGTTTGCACTGAAGATTTGGAGGCATTACCTCTATGGGGAGACATGCCACATTTTTACCGATCATAAGAGCTTGAAGTACGTATTCACTCAGAAAGAGTTGAATATGAGACAAAGGAGATGGATGGAGTTGATCAAGGACTATGACTTGATCATCGACTATCATCCCGGAAAGGCCAATGTAGTGGCCGATGCACTGAGCAGGAAAAGTACGGCGGGGACATTACTCACATGTCTACGAACTTTGAGGGCACAAGTGGAGGTGTCCACGAGTGGGGTCCTCATTGCTAGATTCGAGGTTAGGCTTACATTGCTGAGTGAGATCAGTAGATGTCAGGCCACTGATGAAGAATGCCAGAAGATCCGCGAGAGGATCCTTGAAGGGCCCGTGGAGAACTTTCGGGTACGTGATGACGGTCTTTTACTGTTTAAAGACCGTGTATGCATACCAAAGAGTGAGGAGCTCCAAAAGTCCATACTAGAGGAGGCTCATTCTTCGGCATATGCTATGCATCCAGGGGGTACTAAAATGTACCGAGACTTGAAGGAAAGTTACTGGTGGTCGAGTATGAAGAGAGACATCGCAGAGTACGTGAGTCGATGCCTTACTTGCCAACAAGTTAAGGCAGAGCATCAGCACCCGGCGGGGCTTTTGCAGCCACTGACCATTCCAGAATGGAAGTGGGAGCATGTTACCATGGACTTCGTGGTGGGGCTACCACGAATAGTGAACAACTACGATGCAGTATGGGTAGTGGTTGATAGGCTCACTAAGAGTGCACACTTTTTGCCTATCAACATTACTTATCATCTTGAAAGATTGGCAAAGTTATACACGGAAGAGATTGTGAGACTACGTGGAGTCCCGATATCCATTGTCTCGGATAGGGATCCACGGTTCACATCTCGATTTTGGCCCAAGTTTCAAGCATCTTTGGGTACTAAATTGAAGTTTAGCACAGCTTTTCATCCACAGACGGATGGACAATCTGAAAGGGTGATACAGATATTGGAAGACATGCTTAGGGCATGTGCTCTGGAGTTCCAAGGAAGTTGGGACAAACATTTGGCCCTAGTCGAGTTTGCCTATAACAACAGTTATCAGGCGAGTATTGGTATGCCTCCATACGAGGCCCTGTATGGGAGGAAATGCAGAACACCGTTGTGTTGGGACGAGGTTGGCGAGGCCAAGCTCGAAGGGATTGAGCTTGTTGAAATCACCAAAGCTAAGGTGAAAGTCATTCAGGATAGACTCAAGGCTGCCCAAGATCGGCAGAAGAGTTATGCCGACAAACGACGCAGGCCATTGGAGTTCGAGGTCGGTGATAAGGTCTTCCTAAGGATTTCTCCTTGGAAGGGTATCATCCGATTTATATCGAGGGGAAAACTCAACCCCCGATACATTGGTCCGTTCGAAATCCTTGAAAGGATTGGGGCCGTGGCATACCGTCTCAAGTTGACGCCAGAACTTGAGAAGATACACGACGTGTTTCATATATCAATGCTCAAGAAATACGTGAGAGATCCATCTCATATTCTTGAGAAGCCACCGGTGGAGATACGTGAAGACCTACAATATGCGGTGGAACCGGTAAAGATTGTGGGTCAACAGGTGAAGAAACTGAGGAACAAGGAGATTCCTATGGTGAAGGTTCTTTGGAGGAGTGATCGAGTCGAAGAAGAAACCTGGGAGACTGAGGTCTCAATGAGGGAGCAATACCCGTTTCTTTTCGATTAGACACGTGGATTTCGGGGACGAAATCCCAATTAAGGGGGGGGGGGGTGAACTTGTAACACCGTCCCCAACAAGTATTTACTTTTAAGTGAATAATGTATTGAACTTATGGAATGGGTAACGAGTATTCGAAGTTGTGAATTTTTATTAATGTTTTTGCGTGAATAGTAAATTCGCACGTGGGGCCCGCACCGGGAGCGGGGGCCGCCCGTTATTCCCGAGACCGAATATTTTATTCAACTTGGTCGAAATAATAATTATATAGAGGGGGATAATTTATTTGGTCCAAAGAAATGACATAATGTGGACCGATTGGTCAAAAGCGGTTTAACTACCGGTATCGGTAATTTAACGGATAATAGCCCGAAATTGGATTTCGGAGACCTATAAATTAAATTTGGGGAATGTATATTCACTATGAGGGTCATAATGATTGAGAACACATAATATATTTTATTTGACCCGATAAAATAAAATATATTTAAAACAGTCCGAAAAATACAACTTTTGGGACCGATTATACACTTCTGGACAAAAAGGGTTGACCTCCCACATGGGTGGGGGCCAACCCACGAATTTAGCCCCATTTTTCAAAGCCTTGGCCGGCTGGTAGTATAGGGGATCATGGGGGGATGATGTTGAGGTGAAGGGATTGGCATCAAACAAAAGGAGGTGGACCTCCACCCATGTTTAATTGCCCATTGAGACAAAAGAACACCTCCTCACCCCTCTCCCTCATTCCTCTCGGCCAGCACCAACCCCAGCAAGAAAAGAAAATCCCCATCCTCCTTTTCCCATCCTTGAAGAGAGCTCAAGCAATAGAAGTCCAAGGGGAAAGATTAAAGGGAGAAAAAGCTAGGAAAAGTGAGAAAGATTAAGGTAATAACCTTATATTAACTTTTCCTTTATTTTTCTTCTATCATATGTGATATATATAATATGAAGGACCTTGAGGGTTGTTCTACATAATTAAAGTGTGGAATAATAGGTTGGAGTGTGGTTCTAAGTCCAAAAACGGACTTAGAAGCCAAACCGACAAGTTCACCGGAAAATAACCTTTTAAAGGTTATTTGTTTTGATTAAGGTTTTATGATGTTAAAACCTTGTTAGGAACTTGATTAGAGCATTTTCGAGCTTCGCCGGAGTTTCTCCGGAGTTGGTCAAAGTTCACCGGAATTAGTCAAAATTCGATCGGGGAGCGTAGAACACGCTTAAGCTCACTTAAGGTGAGGATGACCGACTATATTGCTTATAATTTTTGGGTTAATTTCATAAGATTTCCTAAATGAATATACAATGTGATTTGCATGGATTGTTAATGGTTATTAATGCCTAAATGAAATTACTATTGATTATAAGTATAGTTTGCATAATATACAAATTTATTGAATAAATTGTGTATGTTTATATGTTATGAATATGATGGCATGATAGTAGTATCAACCATAAATTTCATTTGTGATAAGTATGCTTTTAATTCATGAGAAGAAGCCATGAAAGAATAAAAGTGATATTTTGATATTAAGGTCAAACTACATATTGAATGAAGAATTACATTGAAATGAGTAAATAACTAGTATTGAAATATTAGTTGGGATTGTAGTTGAATAATGGATGAATGGATCCTAAGAAATTTAATTGTAAAGAATCGGTGATTATTGAGCTGGGCTCTAGACCGATGTAGATAACGGTGATTATTGAGCTGGGCTCTAGACCGTGATAGTTATCGGTGATTATTGAGCTGGGCTCTAGACCGATGTAGATAACGGTGATTATTGAGCTGGGCTCTAGACCGTAGTAGTTATCGGTGATTATTGAGCTGGGCTCTAGACCGATGTAGATGACGGTGATTATTGAGCTGAGCTCTAGACCGTAGTAGGTAACGATGATTATTGAGCTGGGCTCTAGACCGTGGTAATAAATGATGAAATGACACTAAACGAACAAAGTTAATCATGAGATAATAACACCCTAAATTGAGGGTCTTGGAAATTGAAACATTGATTATACTTAGTATAGTTGTCATTGTACTTGTCAAATGCTTCCAAGTACTGACCTCCCCTTCACGGGGGAGGCCACCTCACAGTTTCAGGTAGGAGCTGAGCTTGCTACCAGTGCCCGTTGCTCCGGGTGAATTCAAGGAAGGAAGGCGTGGTTCGTGCTTCCTCCGTTCCTGTTTTAAAAACATCTAAATTAATGCTCATGGATATTATATTTTTGAATAATCATTTGAGGGCTTGTATGCCCATGTTTGCCAGAATGTGGCACGAACACTTGTATTAAATGTTTCCGCTGCTTGAATGAATATTTTACATTATGTTTGTTTATGGATGAACTATGTGTGAATGATATTCCAGACGCCTTGTATAGTATGGATGTGTTGGACTGCGGTTGACTATTCGTACTGTACGGCGGGTTGTTGACGTGTCCGGTTAGGTCCGGGGCGTGACACTCTTTCTATCAGATTGTGATTATAGTCTAATTTACATCCTCCCATCGTACCGTCCGATAGGTGTTAAGGTTCTCAGGGATGAGATTTCGGCTTTGTTTGCAACCACTTCTGCTTAAATAAAAGCACTTTTGGGGAAAAAGTGATTAGTAGTAAAAGTTGGTAGTGTTTGGTAAAATAAGTGTTTTTTGTGTAATAGAAAAAGTAAAAAGTAGATTCTACACGGAAATCGAGAAAGTAAAAATTAATAGTATTTGGTAAAATAAGTGTTTTTTCTTAAAAAAAAGTTAAAACCACTTTTTTAATGGGTTGCAAACAGAACCCATCACTTTTAGGAACCTACCTAAATAACACCAAGCTGTGTACTTTGTCTTTCATTATCATCATCCTCATCACCATCATTCATCACGTTACCCTACCATTCCTCTCTATCTTATTTATATATATATATATATATATATACGTAGTATTATATTCTGCCACGCCCCAGATTCTTACTCCACAGACGACGGAACTACTGTTTGCTAAAAAGTAAAAGAAAAAGAAACCCAAATCCGAAACCAAAGCCTAACCCTCCTCCCCGAACCCTCAATTAAGGTTCATTAACTTAATCTAGTATCCGCCGAATTTGTTATAGTGTTCGATTGGTAGATTCTGTGTTCCGACACATTTATGATCAGTGAGCTCGATCATCTTCTGCGAGAGCTCCGCTAGGGTTTCGTCAGGGTTCTGAGTTTCCGTCTGTGTCTTCCATGGATTCCGAAGACGATATGCACGACGCCAACGACATCGAGTCTGTGGACGAGGACTTCTATAGCGACGGTGAAGGCTATGGCTATGGGGACGCCGCAGGTGACAGTGATGACGATGTCGATGACCTGGACAACCAGTCTGATGACACAGATGATCTTACCCTCAGTCGTTCGCAGGTACATGTCTACATCGCGCATTTGTATTGTTGTACCGTGCCCGACTTTTCACTTCGAGCCAAGTGCTTCTGCGCCAAACGCACTCAATTTAATTAAACTTTAATCTGAACTTCTTTTGATCCTGGATTACATATACTTATGAAAGTATGTTTTTTTTTATCTCAGTGGTATGAATTTCTTATACATCTACCAGTGGAATAATCAGTAAGATGTTCATGCGTGTGATAAGTAAATCATAATTTGTTTTATTGGGCGCATATTTAGTTATCTTTCCATAAAGTAATCATATGTATCTGGTGTACATGGTCAAAATTGAATTGTGTTTGAATGTTGGTTTTCTAAGGCCACTGGACTTGGACTTAAATATGCTTTTGATGTACTCATCATAAAGCTTATAGCTTGATTGGAATGTACGTCATGTGAGTAAAAAGGGTGATGGGACTTGATGCATCATTGTCCATTGGTGACACTTGGAAAGGTCTCTCTGAGACTGACAATTGTGTGAGTTTCTAGGTTCTTGTCCAACTGCTAGTATCTGTAATGCTTTGGGAAGGCTTTATTGGTGTTGTAAAATTCTTATCTTTGACGTCTGGGTTTCGCACTAAAATGATGCTTCATATGCAAAAGTGCTACAAGAAATATATAGTGAATTTCTGATAGGGTCTGATGGGTTCATTTTTTTTTGATCTGCAATTTGCATGAAAAGACGAGTACTCCATATATAGTACCAAATCTGATGCTTTTGTTTGATTATGTATTCATTCTCTTTGGGGTATTAAAAAATTACTCTTGCTTCTGTACTCAGAAAAATTTCACCGTCTTGGAAGAAGAAGACATACGTAAACGACAAGAGGATGATATACATAGGATTTCTGCTCTCCTTTCCATTCCGAGGGTAGCATCATGTTTACTTTTGCGCCGTTGTAATTGGTAATTTGATTTCCCTTTGGTTCTATAATTCAAACTTTCAGTACTATAGATTGTAAGGGAGTATCACTCAGAAATGTCATACTAATACTGTAGCATTATTATTTACTTGCTTTCAAGCGAGTCCAATAGCCCTGCCCCCTTTGATTATTTTATTCAATCCTTTTCTCTTAGGAGTGTGAACAAGGTGCATGAGGAATGGTTTTCTGATGAAGAAAGAGTCCGTAAAAGTGTTGGCTTGTTGGAAAATCCTGTGGTTCAACTTTCCAATGTTAAAGAAGTGAGTGATAAAACATACGACAGAGATTATTATGTCTTCCTTTGATTGTATGTCATAATGGTATCCGCTATATGATAGCGTCAATTTTTAGCAGGTTGTGTGTGGCATATGCTTCGATAGCTATCCTTATGGCATGATGGTTAGTACTGCATGCGGTCATCCCTTTTGTACTACCTGCTGGAGAGGTCAGTTCCTGTAAATTTTCAGATAAAACATACGACAGAAATTAGTAATTTTTACTTATTTATCCGAACCGGAGATCCTGATATCGAGCTTAATGAGTTATCCCACTCATTCTAGTAGGCATGGCAATGGGTCGGGGCGGGTATTGCAAGACCCGGACCCGCCCCGTGACTTGGCGGGGCGGGTCTGCCCCGCCCCATGACCTGCACAGGTCCAAACTTGTAGACCCATGACCCGCCCATACGGGGCGGGGCGCGTCCGCCCCGCCCCGCCCCGCCGCAATCTAATTAGCTAGTTTGTATTTTTATTTGTGGGAAGTTGTTACCAATTGAATCTACATAATGTTTATCTTTAAATAATAATTAAAAATAAATATATTAAATCAAATTCATGATACGCTAAAAATTTCAAAAATTAAGGAAAATTTTGAATAGTTAATCTAATTAGTTATATTAATAATTGAATAAATGTATTAAAATTCTATATATAAAGAAGACATTGGTGTACACACACAATATATATATTCATATATTATAAGATCAAAGAATTTATGATTTATTGTACACACACATATGTATGTTGAAGTATATTTGTAGTATAAGTTAAGAAAAAGTATGTATACTTATATATTGAGCGGGTCGGGTCGGGTCGGGTCGGGGTGGCACGGGTCAATTCTAATACCCGGACCCGCCCCATTGTATAGGCCGGGCGGGGCGGACCCGCCCCATTTGCCAGACGGGGCGGACCCGCCCCAAATGTCTCGGGCCAGGGCGGGTCATTGCGGGTCGTTTTTTTGACATCCCTACATTCTAGAATGTGCTCTTCATTAATACGAAGTATAATATCAGGCATGCATCTACTGCTCTACATCCTTCCATCTTAAGGGTTGAGAGCTGCACTACCTACACTTCCATTACTAACCCTTCACAAGCTGTCATCGGTCATCCGAACAAACTGGATGGTTTACATTGGATTTTCTTATTCGGGATTGATACTCATAATAGAAACACTCAAACACCTTAATACATTTCAATTGGGGTCACTGGACATGGAAATAATTTTAAGATTATCATCTAATTCATTATCTTTTATATTTACCACAAACATACAAATTGTCTTCAGTTAGTCCCTGGTAAGTCACGTACTATATTCGGCCCTTTTAGCCTCCCCTTTAGGCAGCACATGTTTAAAGAAAGGGGGAATTGCATGGTTGGAATTTGTTTGGAGGATAGAGAAACAAACCAACCACAAAAACTTTTCCTGAAAGTAAAGTGCAGATAATTTTAGCTGGGACGATAAAAGAACAATTGATGATAATTAAGGGACATATGTAGTAGATATTTAGGAATCTAATTATACGCTTCATTTAAAACTCATATATCAAGTGAATAAGTGAATTAATATGTGCGAAACATAGAAACAAAAAATCCCTACTCTACAGCCTGCACCCTCTCTATGATATACCACCTCCGTTCTTTTTTAATTGCATCAGTTTGACTATCACGTTTGCCAACACACAACTTTGACCGTAATTATATTTAATCTCGAATTAATGAGCATTATAAAAATTTAATATTTTGGAAATTCACATTAAGAGAAATTCAATGCTATTTTATACATAATAAATTGATTATATATATTATTAGAAAATTATGGTCAAAGTAAGGCGTGTGAATAGTGCAAAATTCGAAGTGTTGCCTTTGTTAAAGAACGGAGGAAGCATTAAATAATTTACACTCGGGTGTCTAGAATGTTGGGTGGGGGTGAGAATGAGGAGAATGCTATATTGTTAACTCGTATGCTTCTACATTTGTGTACGTAAAAAACAAAAAACAGTGCTTTATGGTTATGACTATTTACATATACGCATTAAAAGAAACATTTTGGAGGCTGCCCTACCTTGGTCTGCCACTGATGACAATTTTGCGTCTATAATTTGCTGAACTGGGCAAATTTGTGTTGGGTGGGGGTGAGAATGAGGAGAATGCTATATTGTTAACTCGTATGCTTCTACATTTGTGTACGTAAAAACAAAAAACAGTGCTTTATGGTTATGACTATTTACATATACGCATTAAAAGAAACATTTTGGAGGCTGCCCTACCTTGGTCTGCCACTGATGACAATTTTGCGTCTATAATTTGCTGAACTGGGCAACTATAATATTGCTTGCTCAAAGTTGCATCATTTTTATGCTCATGTGCATCATTGAGCTTAAAACTAACACTGTTTTAATATTTGTGTATTTGTTCTGTTAGCTTATATTAGCACATCCATCAACGATGGTCCTGGGTGCTTAATGCTGAGATGTCCTGACCCATCATGCAGTGCTGCTGTTTGTCAAGATATGATCGATATGTTGGCAGCCAAAGAAGACAAGGAGAAATATTACCGTTACCTACTTAGATCATATATTGAAGATAACAGAAAGGTAAAGGCAACATGAAATAGTTGCCTATTTGTTCTTCAATTGATCTGGAGTCAGCATACTCTCCTTTGCTTTAGAGCTAATATCTCATCTTGGCATTGTTAAATAAATAAATAAATTTTGAAATGATCTAGAGTATTTACATTGAACTTAACATAGTATTCTCAAAACACTAGAACATCATCTAATCGGATCAACATCTGCATAGACATCTTTGATTTTCTATATTGTAAATGTGAACATGTGGTAGAATATTTCCTTTTGATTACATACATCTATCATAGAGTTACCCACTTTCTTTTTGTGTGAGGTCTATTCTATTTAGTATTGATTTAATACGTGTCTGAAAATGTTTGTTCCTTGTTTTTGCAGACAAAGTGGTGTCCTGCGCCTGGTTGTGATGCCGCTATTGAATATGTTCTTGGAAGTGGGAGCTACGATGTCACATGCAGTTGTGCCTACAGCTTTTGTTGGAATGTGAGGATCCTTTTCTTGGTTTTCATAGTTTTCATGTTTTTGTAATGATTCCATTATTGCTAATTAAAGTGAGGCCACACTGGCAGTGCACTGAGGAAGCTCACCGCCCTGTGGACTGTGAGACTGTCTCAAGGTGGATTTTGAAAAACAGTGCCGAGTCCGAAAACATGAACTGGTAAACTGAGTTGCCTTTTGCTAAACTTTTCTGTGAGTTAATTTTCTGCAATAAAATATGCATGAACAGTTTGGTGTATATTCCCTCCATTTCTACTTATGCGGTCAATAAAATCCACTCTTCAATTTCCAGTTGGGGAAAGGGTAAAGTAAACTTAATAGTATGAAAATGGCAAGTGTGAAAAAGCTATTTAGTGCACATATATTTCATAAATAGTTAGATAAAAAGGATCAAAGTGAAGTGGTCAACCTAAACTGACAAATAGGAGCAAAGTGATTACTGCACGTGGCCATAATAACATGGTTCCATTGTTTAGGTATGATTATATGAAACTCTTTTTTGGGAGCATTGCTGAACTTGCTTTTTAATTGATTACACCGGTATATATTGGTTACTGTCCTTCTCTGTTTTCTGTACTGATGGTTAATTGAATGCTGAACTAAGTTTATAAAAGGGTTGTTTATAATAGCAACTACTTAGAAGCATAACACTTGTACCTCATGTCACAGGATTTTAGCAAATTCAAAGCCTTGTCCAAAGTGCAAGCGACCCATTGAAAAGAACCATGGCTGTATGCACATGACATGTACACCGCCTTGTAAATTTGAGTTTTGCTGGTAAGGATTACAATCTGTGTTATTAATGTGAAGTAGATGCTGTTGTTGTTGGAAGTTTATATCAATTTCTTTCTGCTCTCAAGGACTATCCTGCCTCTCATGCATTTCCCCCTTTTGGTGCTATAGATAGACCTAAAGATGTTGCTGGTATTGTAATGCTAATGTCACCTAATTATTCGGAGCGTTTTTTCACAGAAGATAACCAGATTTATGTGTTAGTCAATCTGCTATCGTGATTTACTTCTGAAACAACATAATTGAAAATATAATGATAACCAAAGTCATACTCAGAATCATGGCATGATCAGTTTCTGCAACTAAGAAGTGTCAGGACTTCCGAGTCACATGCTAGCCGACTGCAAACTCTTTTGGGATTAAGACTTGGATGTTGTTGTTGTTGATTGATGACAAATTCTTCTTATTTATGTTCTTAGAATAGCAGAACCGGTTTCAATAAGTAGAACTTGCACTCTAGAAATATTCGGAGTTGCTATTATTCTACTTGCTTACAATTCTGTAATAATATGGCTTCGTGCCTTGTAGGCTTTGTCTTGGTGCATGGTCGGATCATGGTGAAAGGACAGGTGGGTTTTATGCATGCAACCGTTATGAAGCAGCAAAGCAGGAAGGACTGGTAAATGTCAATATATGTTTCTGATAATTTTGATGTATCTTATTTCTTTATTTTATATGTATTGATTAATTAGTATTGAGGTAATAGGTGATGATTTATTTATCTATGTTTTCTATGTAATCAATTTTCATATATAGTATGATGAGGCCGAGAGGAGGAGAGAGATGGCGAAAAATTCTCTGGAAAGATACACTCATTATTATGAGCGGTGGGCAACGAACCAATCGGTATGTTTATGCAGTTTAATATGTTCTGCTTAGTTCAGAAGGTTTTTTTACCTCTCTAGCACGTTTTTTTGTCTTGTACGGTTGTGCCTAGTGGCAGAGCTTGAACATTGTTTTATGGGGGCTTTGTGACAAATATGTGTGTAAACTCACCCACAAACCCACCACACCCATAAATGACACATCATAGTTTTATTTCGTTAGTGAGTTCTCAGTTTAGGATTCATTATTTTTTGGCTTGAGAATAAGATGGAATAAAGCAAAATGGCTCACTCAACTGTCTGCGCTTCTTTGTTACTAGCAGCACTTTGTGCGTTTAGTACAGGGGTAAGACCGCGTACATCCGACCCCTCCTTACCCCACCGTAGGTGGGAGCCTTTGCGGCACTGGGGTAAATGAAAATGATGAAATGATGAGTGAGTTCTCAGTTGATTGTAGTGAGGAGTTTGTATCCTGAACTATATACCCCCTCTGTCCCATTTTGTAAGATACATTTTCCTTTATGGGTTGTCCCAAAAATATGAACACTTTCCTAAATTGAACTCCATTAACTTTTTACTTTATCATTTCAACCTTTACTTTATGTGGACCCGTCTTACTTTATCTTACTTTTTGGAGGTTATAATTGTAAAAGATCCCCTTCATCCTTTATTTTCGTAAAACCTACTCCAAAGTCCAAACCCACATGCATCTTACATTATGGGACAGATGGAGTATTGTATTAATAATTCCAAATCTTGTTGATCACTTGTGTTGTGCACGTGTGCTGATCTAAGGTTGGTTGTAGGGTATAAGATTCAACCTTTTCCTTTTCACCTGAAGCAAAACCCGGATTTGTGGTTAAGATATAACCATTCTGTACTTCTGTGTTCCATTATTCTGCTAGTTCTAATAAAAGGTATTTAACATATTTTAACTTGCTGTGTGTTGTTTGACTTGTAAGTCATCTTCTTGGCTGCGAATTACATTCACTAATGGAGATTGTGCTTTATGTGTTGTATTTTCATTCTCTTTTGTCGTTCTAACTCGTCTCTTTCTTCAAATAACCTGCATCTTGATGCATGTATGATGGCATTATTATTCTCTGTGCCATTCTTTGTGCTCTAAAAATGCTTGCTTCTTCAATTGCAGTCAAGGCAAAAAGCTCAGTCGGATTTGCTTCAAATGCAAGCTGTACATGTAAGTGTACAAGGTTATGCTGTGATTCAATATTGTCATGTTTTAGTGGGCACAGTATCTGAGTGTGAGTGGCTAAACTGAATCTCCTACCGCGGGTCTAAAACTGAACTATTTCATTGACTTCCTTCTTTTTTATTTCCTATCCTTCATATGAGATTGTATAGTAATGTCTGATAAACTGGTTTGCATTTTATGCTCTATACAGCTTGAAAAGCTTAGTGAAATACAAAGCCAACCTGAGTCACAATTGAAGTTCATCATCGAAGCATGGCAACAGGTGAGCTTCACGTCAAACTTCTGAATTCATTTGCTCCAAAGTTGCGGTTAAACATTGATGGATGGTGAATTTGATACAAATACATTTCAGTGTTTTGAGTTTTTTTGCTGTTAAGAATGGTTCAAAAACCTCATCCTCATTAAAAACAAATGAAAAAAGGGGATATCCATCTTAATGTTTTTAATCCACATTCTTGCCTATCTTCCATCCTGCACACAGCTTTATGCTCTTTCTTATTCTTGCCCATGAGAAATACTAACTCAGTTACATTGAACTCTGACTATACACTATCCTAGCCTTGTGTGTGCAACAGTTAGATGATTGTTGGTTGTAACTGTTAGACCATTGGTACCATTCAAGAGTCACAAACCCTGTTTAGTACCATTCCCAGATTTAGATCATGTTGATGTTAACTTTAGTTCTGAACTTGGCTGGTTTAACTTCAATCACAATATTACTTTTATCCTAGATAGGCTAGGTTAGCAGTGTACTGGTATCACAACTTTATCCTCAAATAATTTTCTAAATTTAATAATTCAAAAATAAAAACATATTATTGAAGGATTATGCAAGTTGCTTTATTGTCCCAACATTATAGTCATTGCAATTTTCAAACCGTGACCTGTCATAGGGTTGTTTATTACTTGCATGAAAAGATGCTTGCAATTTTTATGAAACAAGAATGAGTTGAGAGAGTTGCTAGAGTCATGTTCTCAATAAGTTTGCTTTGACTTCAATATAGAACCATTTCTGGGTTTTGCTTCTTGAGATCATAAACAGGGTTAAGACAAGAATAATACGAGTACTAAAAATCAACAAATGGACAAAAAAGAGACCTTTTTTAAAATTTAAAAAAATGAGACTAAAAACGATTAAGGAGTCCATTCTACCCATCGTTCCACCTGACGTAGCTGATCCAACATCACAGTGACCAATTGCACAGTGACCAACACCCCACAGTGATCAACGCTTCTCCGTAACCAACGCCACGCATGACCAACGCCCCACAGTGACCAACGCCATACGGTGACCATTGCCCCGCCAGTGACCTGCCCGGTTACAGTGACCACGGCTGGGCAGTGACCACTGCCGTCCAGTTACCTGTTGACCACGTCACTGATCCAGTGACTCAACGCCTAAGTCACTGTCCAGTTTTAAACCATCCAGTGACCACTTCCCCAGCAGCTGCCAGTAACCGCCGCCGCCGGCAGTGGCTCCCGACCCCGGTGAGTGACACCACTACTACCCTGCCCCTCAGTCCCCCTCCCCAGCTCCCAGACCCCCCTCAGGTACCCAACCCCCCTCCCGCTCCCCAGCTACCCTGGCCCCACAGTAACCAACACCACACGTTGACCATCGCCACGCCACGCCAGTGACCTGCCCGGTCACAGTGACCACGGGTGGGCAGTGACCACCGCCTTCCAGTTACCTGTTGCCCACGTCACTGATCCAGTGACTCAACGCCTTAGTCACTGTCCGGTTTTAAACCATCCAGCCGCCAGTGACTGGCGCCTCCGGCAGTGGCTCCCCCCCCGGTGAGTGACACCGCTACTACCCTGCCCCTCAGCCCCCCCTCCCTAGCTCCCAAATCCCTCTCAGGTACCCAACCCCCACCTCGCTCCCCAGCTACCTTGGCCCCTCCCCAGCTACCTGCCGCCCCTACCACAACTCTCTGCCGCTGCAACTGCCGGCACTCCGCTTATTTTCCCCACCCCTTGGCCTGATATTTTGGCTCATACGCCGCACCTCCTGCAACCCCCAGCGAATTTGAAAATGCGATTGGAGCTCGAGAGAACCCCAACTACAATCGAGAGAACCCCCACTATTTAATGTGCTTCATTTATAACTTTGCTGCATGTTGTAACATGATTTTTGATTTGTGGTGTGCCAGAGTAAAGAATAGATTTGTACTATGTTTCTCTTACTGTGGCTTTGTAGTGCCTATTCGAAACATGATTGGATATTATATACGAAGTAGGTAGGAAATTATTTGGCATTTATTTTGACTTAATGAACGCCGATGCAGCAGATAGGTCATGTTGTCTACCAAACTAACTTAATTGACCTCTCTAGCTTAATTGGCGGGCAATTTAAAAAAGCAGGACGTTTCTGCCACCTACCTTTAGATATTTCTAATTGATTAGAAGATAATTTTTACATATATTGTTACACTCTGTGTAGACCATTTTGTCTTTGAATGTTGAGTTATTGTGTGATCCTTCTACACTTGTGCAGATAGTTGAGTGCAGGAGAGTGCTAAAGTGGACATATGCATATGGATATTATCTTCCTGAAGCTGAACAAGCAAAGAGGCAGTTCTTTGAGTATTTGCAAGGTATTTCGGATCTATCTGTCCTTGTGGAGTAAGAAACTACAAAACATATCTTGTTCCCCCAATTGACTTGACCCTCCTGTGTGGCCTTCCTTACAGGCGAAGCTGAGGCTGGTTTAGAGAGGCTTCATCAATGTGCTGAAAAGGAACTTCATGGATTTCTGAATGCAGATGGTCCTTCCAAAGATTTTAATGATTTCCGTACAAAGCTTGCTGGTCTGACTAGGTAAGCCTGCATTAATGTTCTGAAAAGGAACTTCATGGATGATGAAAATGGGATTTTAATACTCTCTCCGTCCCGGGTAAATGTTCCCGTTTGGCTTACGATGTTTGAATGGCCATAAAATTAACCGATCCCTCTCAATAATAAGATAATTTTAAATAAATAAAATATACATATTCAGAAACTACTTTAATTTTTTTATAAAGTCGCAAAAAAAACTCAAATTTGATAAAAGTTGGATATATAAAGTAAAAGATTGAGAATAATTTATGTTGATCGGAGAATAGTGAACGAGAACCTTTACCTGGGTCAGAGGTGGTATATAATATTTTCAATTGGATTGCTATAATAGATGAAAAAAGCAGTTTCTATATAGCAACCTTAATTTTTACCCAACCTTGCAAATGGAATTCAATTCTATGCAAATGGAATTCAGAGCGAGTGTTTGGGTTGAGAGTTTTGGTGGTCTAGGTGGTGATTCAAATGCAACATGATCACCTATATCTTATTTCTTCAGCATACACAAAGATATACTCCCTCCGTCCCCTTTTAAATGTCCCGTTTTACCATATTGAGATGTCCTTATTTAATTGTCTCATACCGTATTTGATAAAGTTTGTGTGACTCAAAATCATTCTTACTTTATTCTTACTTTATCAATTAATATCAACCACACAAATCCACTTTTCTTAAAACTCGTGCCACCCTCTTCCGGAACATTTAAAAGGGGACGGAGGGAGTATACTTTTACCCCCAAAACCCTCCATTGAAACTGACCCTAATAGAATTGGATCCATTGCTAGGACTGTTCGATATTAGGACATGATGTGACTGCCCATATTGGTAACCATCCGATCGTTGGACAGTTTCAATTGCTTAGATGCTTGAGTCATAGAGAAGAGGATCTGACACTTCTTAGACATGTTTAAAACATGGTAAATTGTCCAAGAAGACCATTATTCATTTTCTAGATCTAACAATGTTGTTTCTTTTGACTTAAAAACAGTGTCACACGCAATTACTTTGAGAACTTGGTTAGGGCATTGGAAAACGGACTGTCTGATGTAGATACACAAGGAGGAGGTAGTAGCAAGACAGGTTCAAAAAATGCAGCCGGGAGCAGCAAGGCAAAAGGAGGGGGCCGAACAAAAGGAGGCCCATCCCGAGGTTCAAGCAAGACCTCTGATGATTCAGGCGGTTGGGCGTGTGATCATTGCACATATATGAACCCCAGGTCTGCTTCAACTGCCTGCCAAATGTGCCAACAGCGCCGATGATGATATTATGGTCTCTTTTGCTCTTCCTTCTCCCACACGTATCATTTTGGAGCCATTTTCTTGAACAACAAACTCACCATCCATGGGGTTATTGGAACAGAGTAGTATGTTCTCCACCAATAAGGGTGAGGGGAGCTGCCTGCATAATGCTCCGGAAAAGCAAATGCAGTAGTAGCCTCATGGATTATGTTGAAAGGGCATCTTATGGTTTTTATTGGTGTAAATAGAACTCAAGAATCTATGGAGTGTTTTCTTTTGGGTGTTTTGGTTTATTATTTGGCGGGTGGGGGTGTATTTATTGAATTATCATTATTAATCTAATATTCTCTAAATATTTGTTTCTGCAATGTGTGCAATCTGATTATAAGTTCATAGCCTTCTGTAGTTCTGTGTAGACAAACAAACACCCCCATTTCCCCTCAGCCATCTTGTACTCTAGAGCTCGAAAGTACACATGACATGTTGATGCCTCATGCGTAGGCATGGACCGGATCTGGTTGGTCCGGACTGCCACTGTGCGGGCCCGGACCGGCCAGGTGAACTGGCCTGGGAACCGGGCCTAGGACCGGCCCGGGGTGTTAGAGCGGTCCAATTCGAGCCTACCCTTACTTTGAAACCGGCCCGGCCCTGGTTTGGGCCTTTTTTTTTTTAATTTTTTTTTTCCCAGAGTTTGGCTAGGGGTTTTGGGGGGTTGGGGGGGGGGGGGGTTGGGGGTCAATTAGAAAAGCAAAAAAAAACTGGTCCCGGTTTGGACTGGCCTGGAGCTATGGCTGGACTCGGGCCGGTTCGGGCCCGGTTCGGGCCTGGGCCCGGCCGGGCCTCGGGCCAGAAAACTAGGGCCCGGGCCCGAACCGCCGGTGGGCGGTTCCGGTTCCGGTTCCGGGCCAAACCGGGCCGGGCCGAACCGGCCCACTTAATTTTTTTTTTTTTGGTCTCCTATTTAATCCCCTACCCCTCCCCCTCAACCCCAAACCATCCCAAACCACCTCAAATGGCCCAAAATACCTAATCCAACCTAAAACTTAAAAAAATTTCAAAAAAAAAAAAAAAATTAAAATCCGGCCCGGACCGGGCCCGAACCGGCCGGGCCGGTTCACCAAAACCTGGGCCCGGGCCCGAACCGCCCAGCAGCCGGGCCGGGCCGAACCGAACCGGTGGACCCACCGGGCCCCGGGCCGGGCCGGGCCTAACAGTAACCGGGCCGGGCCGGTTCCGGGCCGGGCCGCCCGGCCCGAGTCCAGCACTACCTGGAGCCCGGCCCGGCCTGGAACCGGTCCATGCCTACTCACGCCGCAAGTGGTTTTCACCTTGCAGGTTACGTGTTTATACAATTGAAATATCAATGGACAAATAGTCTCTATGCCACATTGCCATTATGCCCTCTTCATGAAGTGAAATTTTAACATCAACTCAAACTGCTCCAGATTAGTCCTGGACTCGGGTTGGGTCCGGGCCGGGCTTAGGCCCGGACGATCCGCCGGTTTTGAATAGGTGGGCCCGGGACCGGTCCGGGTATCCACCGGGTCTGGGCCGGACCTCGGGCCTTTTTATATTTTTTTTGCTTTTTCTAATTAACCCCCGACGCCCCCCCCCCCCCCTCAACACCCAGCCCAACCTGTTGGAATAAAAAAAATGAAAAAACAAAAAAAATGGGCCGGCCCGGGTCCCGTTTTGAAGGAACCGTGCCCGGAACCGTCTCCCCCTCAGGCCAGGTCAAAGCCTGGTACCCGGACCGGTGAACCGGGCCAGTCCCGGGCCCACACAGTAGCGGGCCGGGCCGGGTGGGTCGACCTGAGTCCACCACTACTCCAGATATTCAAAAAAAGTCACATGAAGCCATGAAGGTAAATATATGATGGTTTTTTTGGGCCTTTCCTGTTTATTAGTTTTCAAGAAAAATTCCAATTCAATTCTTATTTAGTTGTCGGTGTTTTTAAGTTTTAATGGTCAGTTTACCTTGCTTTGACTCTTTGAGTGCTCAGAACTCAGAAGTATTCCGACTACATTGTGTTATTATTTTTATTTTTATTAGTATTTGTGGAGGTAAAGATATTACTCCCTCCGGTTTTTAATAAACTTCACACTTTCCTTTTTGGGACGGTCTAAAATAAACTTCACACTTCCTTATTTTCTTTTTTGGCAAAGAAATCTACATCAAAACAGTGCCAAACAGTGCCAAACAGTGTCTCAACAGTGCCAAACAGTGTCTCTACAGTGTCAAACAGTGTCAAACAGTGCCTCAACAGTGTACTCTACAGTAAAGTCAAATTTCTTTCCTTATTTTGTGTGAAGTCAAACTATGAAGATTAAAAAAAACCGGAGGTAGTAGATTTTAATTTAAACTTTTGGGATTTCTCATTCGGTACAAGCAGTGAGTCTTCACTCTTAAAACTTTGGAGACACTACGGATATCACACAAAACAATTATGTACTTCCTCCGTCTCCGAAAGAAATTCCACATTTGACTTTCACACATTTTTATGCAAGTAAACTTACCAGGGGGTAAATTTTACTGTTTTGATACTGTTTCGCCACTGTTTGACACTGTTTTGCACTGTTTGACATTGTTTTGATGTAGATAACTTTCCATATAAGGAAATGAGAACTTAAATTAGGGACATCCAAATAAGGTAAGTGAGAACTTCTTTGGGGACGGAGGGACCGAGGGAGTATATGAGAGGCGGGGTAGTCCTGGGACTCTGGGAGCTCTAACTTTTGGCGAACATGGGATGCGGGATTATCCGTTTCTTTATATAAAACCAGGAACTCTTCCTTTTGGAGTATCCGAGTATAGATGGCACATGGGGAAAATTCACTGCAAACAATTTAGAGAAATTGGCTCCGTATGCGTGGAAATAATTTGTTTTTATCGCAAGAGGTGACCCGTCCATCTAGCCCTACGCCTCTACCTGTGGGGTGGACATGATCCGGTTCTAGTTCTTGATCGACCGATCCTTGGAGAAGAAATATGGTGAATGGAACTTGCATTTCGGGTTCTGGCTGTAAATTTAAAGCGACTAAAATTGGGATCGGATTGACTGATCATAGACCCCAAAATTGTGGCCCAGGATTGGGAGCGTTGCCTCTTTCTTGTCAGTTTGGGATTGAAGTCAGTCCAGAACCTCTTCTCCGGTTCCGATCCCAATTTGAATACATGTCGGTTTTGGGTTCGGGACTATGTTTACCCCTACCTACTAGGATTGGGTGTACAATTTATGGGAGTGGGTGTAGGATTATAACCCTACAAGGGCAACTAAATATGCAACACTTTAAGGGTTGGTTTGCAAATGCTTTGAAAAAAGCACTTCTCGGCTTTTGGCTTAAAAAACACTTATTTTACCAAACACTATCAACTTTTATTTTTCTCGGCTTTCGTGTCAAAAGTGTTTTTACTTTTTCTATTACACAAAAAACACTTATTTTACCAAACACTACCAACTTTTACTTTTCAAAATCACTTTTTCCTCAAATACTACCAACTTTTATTTAATCACTTCTTCTCATTTCATTAAAAAACACTTTTTTTAAAGCAGGAGCTATTGCAAATAGTACCTAAGAGGAAATGAATACTGATAAAACAAAATTTTAAAGTATCATCATAGTTCACGAGTTCCCTACAATTTCATTACCGTTAAAACTTAAAATCACTATTGCCGTAAATATGCAAGATATGCAACTCTTTAAGAGAATATGAATAATGATAGAAGAAAATAGTAAAGTATCATCAAAATTCATTGGTAGCGGATATTCTCTCTCTTTTTTTTTTCTCAGTTCTCGGGAAGTGCTAACTTGCGTTTTTTTTTTTAAATCTAAATAGATTCTCTAATTGACACAAAAACCGTTCACGTCATAAACTACTATCAGAGCATCTCCAATGCTACAATGAGCACGGTACACATGTGGCATGAGAGATAGACAAAAAAATTGAATTTATGACATTTCTCTCTCATTCTTTCCACGATTTTATGTGTTTTTGGTAAGTTTTTCTCTGCAATATCAAGCACAATGTCTACATCTAGACATTGTGTTTGACATTGTGAAAAAAATCTTACCAAAGCGATACAAAATCCTTCAAATAAGAAGGGATATTCTATTTATTATTTTTTAATTGGCTATCTCTCATGCCACATATGCATTATTCACATTTTAGCATTGAAGATGCTTTAATAGTTCACAAGTTCACTACAATTCTATTAATGTTAAACTCATTATTGCAGTAGATGCATGTGTTTAAATGTAACTTTTTTTTTTTGAAAAAATCGGATTATTCATTGCAATCATTAGTACTTCGTATGATTTTATGAGTATTGATCGAGTACTTCGTTCGATATACTTATGTAAACTTACAAGCATCTCCGTCCAAGTACTGATGCAAGGTTTATTCAAGCTTATAATGTATATTTATTTAAGAAAATTGCAAAGTAGCAATGCATGTTTTCCACTTAAATAGAAATTCAAGAATTAATTTGTGTGATGAAAAATAAAATTTGAAAGTAGTAGCATTACGTTTTTCATCTAAATACAAACATTTGTCGGAAAGTATTGATATATGACATAATGACGTATAGTCATATACTCCGTACAACAATATTACCCTACTGCCAGTCTGCCACTAAAGCTCCGACCTGCAGTTGGATGAGGGCATTGGAGGAGCCAAAAAAACAGGGAAAATGATAGGGTACACAAGTTGTACACAACTTGTACACACAATGTCGATCGCAGACAATTGTTACGGAGTTGCCTGTGACCACAAACAAGAGTTGTCTGTGTACACAGACAAGAGTTGTCTGTGTACACAGACAAATTTTGTCTGTCTTCACAGACATTTACTTTTGTGTAAAAAGTATACTGAGAGCCGCCTGACATTGACAAGTACTTTTTACAAAAAAGTAAATGTTTGTGGAGACAGACAAAATTTGTCTGTGTACACAGACAACTCTTGTATGTGGTCACAGGCAACTCCGTACCAATTGTCTGTGACCGACATTGTGTGTACAACTTGTGTACAACTTGTGTACCCCTAGCATTTTCCAAAAAATAGAGTCGAAAGACTCGAAACTTAATTATATATACTCCGTAGATTCAAAATGGTGAATCGTTATTAAAAAAATATAAATATTGAAGTTAAATGTTTCATATGTAACTTAAATAAATGATAGTTTAATGAAACCTATTCAGTTATTGTATTAATATATATGGAATGTATTATAAAGTTCACACAACTAATGAGTGAATAAGGTGTTTTATTTAAAATTATGAATATAATCAATATCATACATCAAATTTTGATCATTTCAAGTTAAAACGATGCTGATATATCTAGAAATCTTAACTTTTTACTCGTAATGAGTCACTGAGCTCATAATATATCAAATTGAAAATAT